TGTTGGAAAAATTGATTTTAATTAGTTGGTTTGACCAATTAATTTAGTGGGTCCCGTTAATCAGAAATAAGATTTCTTTGGCCGAATGTGTTTTACTCCATGAGTAGATTAATATGGTATATTTATTTTCTCAAAGCCAATTTAGGGTGAATGAGAAATTAATGTCAAAAGATGCCCACTTGATGTTGAAATAAAATAGGTGAAAAATTGGAAAATACCAATCCCACATAGGAAAACTAGAAGAATATAAACTACCTTATATAGCTCAAGTTTGGGACTTGGGTTTGGGCCCCAAGGGATACCAATAGTCTTTGAGGGGGAGAGAACCTACATGCTAGTAGGTTAAGCCAAAGCCCACACGCGCGCGCCGCCGCCACCGTCCGTCCGACCGGCCGACTCGGCTCGGTTCGGCACGGCACGGCACGATCACGGGTCGTGGGCTTGGGCCAAGCTGATATATATTTTTTGGTAAAATAACATTTAATTATATTATTTTTTTCTTCCCCGAATTTTCTGTGTGTGACACATGGTACGGTGCTTCTAGAATTTAGCAGGTTGTGGTAGTTGACTGTCTAAGTGACGGTTGACTATCCAAAGTGGCGGTTGACTGTCCAAACAATTTGTGTCTTTTAGACACAACTTTTCGACAATTGTGTCTATTGGGACACAACCTTTCAATATCTATAAATAGGCTCCCATACCCCGATTTTTATTCATTCCAAAAATCAGAATTGATTTTCTACTCTCCTGAAATTATCCCTTTGTCCCTGCATAATTTCTGTTTTTATAATTCAGTTCTTGAAAATTACTTTTCGTGCATTTCACTCATCCAGTGTGTGTGGAGAGATCTAAACTTTACGGGTTTGTCGGGTCTTGTAATTTGGAGTACTACTATTACAAGACGAGGTCGTTGTATCTTGGGAAACGAGTGCTGCAATACCGTTAGTACCAGTGCGGGGCATTATTGTTTTAAGAAGAAAGAGTTGAACTCTTGCCTCGACCATTCAAAACCATCCAAACGTCGTTACTCTACCCAAATATAAATTACGGTAACACTATTATTTGTTATTATTTTTCAACAAAAATTTAATAGGAGTGTATTGCGATTGTTGAAAATGGAAAATGATAAATTTGGGATTTTTGATTTGGGATAAATTGGCGTTGAAAATTGGAAATTAAAACTTAAATCATGGAGAAAGAGATTTTTTCAAAAAGTTGAAAATGACGCAATCTTGCATGGATTTCAAAACATGAGACCTCGTAGAATGCAATTTCTGAACTTAGAGCCTATTTGATAAGTTCCATTTTCCACTGTTTTGGTATGTTTAATAGCCAAAATTTTCATGGAATTGATTTTCCATAGAACTCCCTACATGACCACCTTTTCTTGCATTTGAAGGAAAATCAATTCCTTTGGTTTTGGTAGGAACTGGATTTTTCATCTTTTCTTTTCTTTTTTAATTTTTTTGACAATAGAAACAAATTTTATTTTTTTAATTGAGAATTTTCATAAAAAACAAAGTCAAACGAACACAAAAAGATTTAAAATTTCAACATTTTTCAAGTGAATAATTATACTAATCAAGCACATTTAATGGACAATTTCTAGTAAAATAAGTTGTAGACAATTAAATTATTTAGAATTCATTTTCTTTTCACCCAAATTTCATTTTTGCAATTAAACGGATCCTTATAGCTACAGAGTGAGGCAATATCACATATTTTATATTTTTATTTAGCATTATATTGAATTATATTTTCAAATAAATATATAATTTTTTATGTTTTAGTACATTTATATATAGATGGAAAAAAAAATTTATATTATTTAATTTAATATTAATAAACACATCCCTAATTGAGCTGAAGTCTTGGAACCGTCCCTGCAAGAAAGCGTATTCTGTTTGCAAATGACAAAGCATCGTAACATGGCCAGCGAAAAATATTTGGCGAGCATGTGATATAAATTGCATGTAGAACGAATCATAAGTTGCCACTGCCCGTGAGCTTCTGTTCATTTTTATATATTATTATGACTAATGGCTATTGAGAAAGTTAAAGCCAGGCCGTCATCCACCCGTCGTGCTCTGAAATGGGACAATTGTAATGATTTCCACATTTCCCTAATTATTAAAAGATGGTTGTACTTTAGAATAAGTTAAATTTATTTATTTTATACAGCACTTTTATAATACACTAATAGCCGATTCGTTTTTCTATCAATCGCACTTACCTTTAGAGCTACCGGAAATGGAATGGAATGAAATATTTTTTCTCTGACCTAAACCCCATGGTTCCCCCATTTTGGACACAGGGTCCCTCAGGTATTTTCACCCTTTACGATTGTGTCGTAGCTTTCAAAAGATAGCACTTTAGTTTTCGCATACTAGGTGTATTGTAGCTTTAAACCATTTTAAAGAGATTCTCTATTCTTAAAGAACATATATTAGCATTTAGAGAGCATCTATAAATTCAGATAACTAAAATTTTGAATTACTCTAACAAACTTTTTTATACATAAAACTTAAAACCTGTTTGTTTTGGATTAAAATTAAATTTTAATTTAAGTCAAAATCAAACAATCAGTATTAACCACATCTTTTATGGATTTCACAATTTTTCAACAACACATTTCAAAATTTTCTATCACAATGTACTAAAATATCTAATTTTAATTCCCACCAAACACTCTTAATTTTATTATTCCTAAAAAAACATTTATGATTTTTTTTCTATCTTTTATTTGAACTAACTTCTTTTTAGATTATTTTATTATTTTCCTACATTGAAAATTAAAACACTTTAAATACATTTAATTAGAGAGTAAATTTAACTCTCCAAATTTGGAGAGATATTAAAATGTTAATTTAAAGAATTTCTTGGAGCATGATTTTAAATATTGACTCTTTAAAATAGAGAGTATCTCATGTTTAGAAACTCTCTTGAAAATGCTCGCTCCAAATCTATAAATTTATTTAATGAATTCGGCTTTGGATCTGACTGCGAAACTTATATAGCAAACTAAAATTATGACATGGCCAAAGATTGACCATATTAGAACTTGTTTGGGAGTGATTTTAAGAATTGATTTTTTGATCGTTAGGAGAAAAGTATGGTCCACTTATGAGAGAAGAAGTCAAATATGACGGTTGAAATAGTGAAATAACGATCAAAAAATCAATTTTTTGGGCCAAAAAAATCACTCCCAAACAAGCTGTTAATATCTCCATCAAAAATAAATTGAAAGTTAAAACGTCCAAATGAAATTAAAATTGCATGTCAACACGCTTTTCTATCTTTAATGTTTTCTCGTACAATTTGTATATTGTGGCTTCCAGAAGGTTGCACTTGTTAGCCCTTGAATTCTTTTTTCACATACCACAAATCTATTAGTCCATTAATGAATTCGGCTGCGAATCCGGCTGCAAGACTTACGTAGCGAACTAAAATTATGACATGGTTAAAGATCAACCACATTAATATCTCCATCAAGAATAAATCAAAAATAAATTGAAAGTTAAAACGTTCAAATGAAATCAAAATTACGTGTCAAACATGGTTTTCTAGCTTCTTCATGTTATCTCATCAAGATCGTTAGCTCCATAAGCAAAATCTCAACAAATCATTAAACTAGCGTACATGGCAAAAAAAAAAAATTTATAAAAAAAAAAAAAAAAAAAGTTTTGTTTTTTTTTGGAAAAAAAAAAAAAAAAAAAAAAAAGTTAAGGCGTGTTTGATTGTCATGAAAAATATGTTTTTTCTATCCAAATTTCTACTTTTGTACTATTTTGATTGCTATTTTTTCATAAAAAATATTTTTTTACTTTTTGTCATGTGACCATATTTTCCTCAAAATCAAGGAAAATATTTTCTTTAAGGGAGAACCCACTCTGCCTTTCCATCTCTCATTTATCCACTCTCTCTCATCTATTCATTAATAAAAAATGGACAACAATATTATTTTCAAAGTTAAAAATTAAATTAATCAAACACATTTAATTGATAATTTTCATACAAATAAATTTTAAATAATTGAATTACCTAAAAGTTATTTTATTTTTATTCAAATTTCATGTTTGCAATTAAACGTACCCTTAAAAAATATACTTGATAGAAAGTCTGTGTTTTACTTTTATTTTTTAAAACTCATTTTCAACAACACATTTTGCCCTTGTTTGATTTTAATTACATTACATTACATTTTTCTCTCTCCTATTTTTAACCACACAATCTTTCATAAAATAATATTACACGTAAATCGAAAATTTTTCTTTCTTTTTCAACCACTCATTTTTCAAAAAACACTATTCTATACATTAAATTTTCCCCGTAATGGGGGCCAAACAGGGGCTTTATATCATCTACAAGTTTTATCAACTTTTTAACTATATATTTAATTAACTTCATCAAAACTTGTTAAAAATTTGATTTTAATCCAAAAATTAACTTTTTAGACAGACAAAACGCCGATCTTGATATGAACAAACTCAAAGTCTAATTGGAAATTTAAGACCACCTGTGTTGTCATCAACATGGACCACAAAAAGTAAAAGCTACCAGTAGTAGGTGCTATTTCCTCTCACCACTTCAAAAGATATACGCGTTTTGCCCCATCACTCTCAATCCATTATTTCAATTCCGTGTTGAATAATTATGCAACATCCATAAAAAAATCCATTAAAGCCGCAAACAATTTTTCCTTAGGTTTATCTTGTTTGGTCCGGATATTAATTCAATTAAAATTAATTTTTTGATCATTATTTTATTATTTTAATCGATTTTTTTAAATTTTTCTGTCACAATACAAATCCACTTTATCTCTAACAGTAAAAAAAAATTAATTATCAAAATTCTTACTAATCACACTTGATCATATTCCGTTGAATGGTCAACAGATTACGAGTTCATTGAATTAAAATTGCAATAGTTCCACCACCAGTTTTCGTGCTAACAGTTTTTTGTTAATAGTTTGCCCTAAACTAGTTGCAGATGCAAGAAAATTTTAGGAGTAATTCACAATTTTCCTTCCATAACCAGTGAAAATAGAACAACATATTAGAAGATGGACTGTTATTGTGAATATACAAATTCGGTTATTAAACCCTAATTAGACCATCTGAAAGTTACTTAAATTGCAATAGAACAGAAAAGTGGAAGTCAGAATTCAGAAATTCTAAGAGTTACATACTACGATGAAGGCCTACTCATCATCTTCTTGAATTCTTCGAAGTTAACGCAACCATCGCCGTCAACATCGACAGAGCTGATCATACGCCGGCAGTCCTTGAGGCTACACTTCTCACCGAGACCCTTGAGTACCGAGTGCAACTCACTCGCCGAAATCTTCCCATTCTTGTCCTTGTCGTACAAATCAAACGCCTCCTTCAACTCATTGTCGCCACTGCCACAGTAGAACGCCTTAAACTCGTTAATATCGATTGAACCATCACCATCGGTGTCTAATTCCGACATTATGTGCTTCAATTCCTCCTCTTCAGTTTTTGAGCCGAGCGCTTTCATAATTTCACCGAGTTCGGATAAGGAGATTTTGTGATCTCCATTTGTATCGAATTTCTCGAAAACTTTTTCGACTTCTTCTGCTTCGGTTAACAAAACCGCTGGTTTTTTCGAGTTTTTCTCCATTGTTAGTGAGAAATTCAATAAAATTTCTACTAACAACAGAGATTTTCCAATGAGAAGGGGGGCCCCGGTGCGTGATTTATGGTGAAGGTTACGCGGTTTCATACGCGCAGTGTCACGCGGCTCAACTTGGATGATTAATGCGGGAGTCTTTTATTATTTTTGTTTCTAAAGAGCAAAGATCCTCTGGAATGCGTCCACGTAAAATTTCTACACCTCCTGTTTCGTCAATTATTTCCAAACACTTTTAATAATTTTAAATTAATTCCGTTCAAATTAGTTATCCGCTTACCAAATTTAGCCCCTATATGGTAGGGAGGAAATTCAAATTTTTTAGTAAATTTTAATAAAAATTGATAAAATGTAAGCTGAAAAAATATAAGATCCTTAAAATATGTGATTAATTAATTGTTAATTTTGATTTAAATTTTAATCTAGACCAAATAAGGGCTTAATTTATTTCACAAATCAAGGAGATTAATTTACTTTCCAATCATAAAATTTAAATTAACACTGTGTTTTCCATTATGTGGACATTTCAAATTTTAATAATAATACCATACACAAGCTTTGACTTAAAAATATTTGAAACCAATTGGATGTGGACACGTTTTCAACGGCCTATACTGGAGGAGCAGAGGAATACATCTCTTATGGGATTTCACAATTTATGGAGATATATTTATATGTTTTTTAATTACAAAAAGTTTGATTTTAGGGTGGAGTGGAAGGAAGAGTTAAGAAACACACGCTTTTGACGGTTTTATGATGGAGACTTGTACCTGGCCCGGCGTGGATCGGTTAAAAGCGGGTTTAGTATGAAAGGTCTGCTTTTGCCTCTCCGTGCCATCAAAATTATAACGTGCCGATATCACTTTATTCATCAATTAATTACCACAATAAATTCATGATTTATTTGATCAAATGTATTTATTAGGATAATTAATCATAAATTTATCACATTCTTTATTTTTAATTATGTTTGATGTCATTTAAATTAATACCAAATATTTTCTTGAGTGTTTTATAGCACCTTTGCTAGTGTTTTGAAGCACGTTTAGGATAAAAAAAAATGTTGTCCTTTTTCCTATTAAAACAAAAGTGAGATAAAGTAATTGATAACAGTTTTCTTTCTTTGACACGTGTGACAAAGGGTCAGCCACCCACCCACGGTTGGTATTTCGATGGTTTAGTCAACTATATGTACATAGCATACGAGGATTGAGCATCATCGCATGGGAGAGACCAATAGACAGAATTTTGAATAGAATTTAAAGCATCCATCCCCTTTTCCTTTACATTTGTATTACTATTTATAGGGGAGGAATTCTTGTGAAATTAGATTAAGAGGTGTAGGACTAATTCCACGTGTCACACTGTTATTGCCACCAATGATGCTATTCATTATGTTATAAAATTCCACGTACTTTATGATTCATTTAGTTTTATTTGTGGATTGCGGCTCGGAAATCGCAATAATTGATGAGTTGGATATCATTTGTATTATTGGTTTCTCGTAGGGGTGGGCGCGGGTCGGTTCGGTTCGATTCTTAAGAGAATCGAATCGAACCAAAATTTTCGGGTATCTAGTAAATGGAACCGTCGGATCCAAATATAATTATGGAACCGTTCGGATTCGGTTCGGTTCCGTTCGGTTCAGTTCGATTCCGTTCCGTTCCGTTCGGTTCTGCACTATAATTAAATTTTTTAATATTTATAACAACATTATATAAAAACAACTAATGATACATTCAATGGTTTTAAAATGTTAGAGACTAGTAAACTACCTTGTTCAAATGATCACTACAGTCAAAGTTTCGATCGGCGAAGGTCACAGTTTCGATCGGAGGTCACAGTGTTGGTCGACGATTGTATAGGTTTTGGAATATTAGCGAGGCTGCGAGAGCGAGTACGAGAGTCGAGACAATGTTATGCACTTTAGTATAGGTGTTTAAGATTATTTAGTGGATTAGATCTTGTTGGGCTAAGAAATGAAGTAATAAAAAGGATAATTTGGCCAAAAACTAAAAAATCAGAAATGAAATAAATTATTGGGCTAAAAATTTAGATTTAGAAATTGTTAATTTGTTTAGAAAAATTAAAATTAAAATAATTTAATTTACTCAATATAAAAAAAAATTAGAAAGATTCGATTCTTATTTAGTTTTTCGGTTCTTGGTCTAGAACCGAAAATCGAACCGTACCCGTCGGTTCTCAATTCAGATACCCGTTCGGGTATTTAATTTGACAAGAACCGTCGGGTTCGATTCGGTTCGGTTCGGTTCGGTCGGTTCGATTCGGGAGATTTGCCTAGCCCTAATTTCTCGGGAGAAAAAAGTGAGTGCATCAAATTCAGTACTAATAGAAGTAACAAAACATCTTTTAATTATGAGATCAAGAAACCGTGACATCCACTTTAGAATCATTTCTAACCTACCTATATGTTCGTCATTTTCTCCATAAAGGACTTCATTTTTTGGCAAGAAGGACATGTTGCTTAAATTGAACGCAACCACTGATTCTCCACTCCACGATGAGAAGAATTTTAAAGCAACAATGACCACAATAAGTATAGATAAAGGATGTAAAACGGAAACCCATATCAGGCCCTGTTTGAGAGGGATTTTGAAAATTGATTTTTTTATCTTTAGAAGAAAAGTGGGGTCCACCTATGAGAGAAGAAGTCAAAAATTACGATTGAAATAGTGAAATATCGGTCAAAAAATGAATTTTTTGGGATTAAAAATCCCTCCCAAACAAGCTGTCAATAGCAAGCAATATTCTTCCACACATAACAGTTTCTAAAACAAAGATCTTTCTCACAAAACAAATTTGGTTCCAATCTGTTACTTAGAATGCAGAACTAGGAAGTAGGAACAAGGGATCACGATCACATGTTATTCCAAAATATACCCAAAAAAAAAAAAATTAAGAACACTGACAAATCAGTCATCAGAAAACATTTGGATTTAGTAATAAGATAACCATTTTGGTCGCCTTTCTCAATGAATGGGCGTCCAACTTCTCCAAAGCAAACATGTAGAAATGCACGACAAAGTTAGAATTAGCTACTCCAGTATCTAACTTGTCCACCATCTCGTGAGATATTCACCCCTGCAAAAAAAGAGGGGAGAACAAATCAAAATTATGTTCGAAATTGGCATAGAACAACTTCAAGTGTTAGCAACATTTGTATCCATACGCCCCCAGGGCACATCCAAGTTGGCGGAACAATCACATTGGGGGGCTCTGGAACCAAGTGTGGGGAGTTCGATTCCTGGTTGGAGCAGCCAAGTGATGTAATAATCAGAGGAAGGATTGGAGCAGCTTGGTGATGTAATAACCATGGAGGAGGGTCCCTTTGGGGAAGGAGTAAAAGCCATGTGGGAACCTGGGAACCAATAAGGGCACAACCTGCGATTTACCTCCACTAGTCACTGAGGGGTCGGGGGCTAGAGGTCCAGGATTTAGTCCGGCTAAGCTGGGACACCTGGGTTATCCAAAAAAAAAAAAAAAACATTTGTATCCATACAAAATGATCGTGCAACTAGTTAATTTCTGATAAATGTTGACATTCTCCAGTAAACTTTGAAACAACTTAATGAAATCTTTAAATTGCTAGATTTTGAATTCTTCTACACACTGTTGATAGTTAATATACGTGAACTATGTGAAAACATAACAAATAAAAAAACACACATCCTCAACAAATATTTTATTGAAAAATACACTTTATAATGATATCTCAAAATTTATGTACTCTCAAATCATATCATCCTAGTGGTTTCGAGTTATGATGTGTGCTGATAGTGGATGTCATCTAAGGATTGGATCCGCCACCAAGACTAAATTCATCTTCTTTGACTATAATTAATTCAATAAAAATTTTGACAAAGTTTTCCCAGAAAAATATGTGGCACAAATTAACTTAATCAACGTGATAAACATGTGCCCCAAAGTACTACATGATCAAACAAACATATCATACAATCTAGTTATGTCACATAGCTTGACTCATCAAATCAACAAGCTCCAAAAGTTGCTCAACTCAACTGCTACATGGTAAGAAAATGCGTGACAATATATGAGCTTGTAACCCCGTGATTGAAGAGTTTTCAAATAATGATACTCTTCCAGTTAGACATATTTACGAAAAATCTTACTTACACTATGATAGCTAGAATTCAAAAATTATAAAAATATGGTCGTATGTGTGCAGATTTGTACCCAAAGGGCTAAGCACCCTAGCACAGTCCAAAGTCTACGCGAAATACAACTATACCAGAGTAGGTCCCAAATGCCTCAATAATTCATCATACACTATGGACACACAAGAAGTCAACAACACAATTCAAAGTAGGTGAAATCAACATATTGATCGTATAATATGGAAATACATTCACACTGTGCAAAACGAGTAAAATCAGCTGGATGCATTCTAGTGATTCTAAACTTAACTTTATAAAAAAATAAAATATTTATTATTGATATAAATATGCTTAGCTTAATCAAATTAAAATCTTGAAATAATTGCTTGCTTATAAAAGGTATTTTATGCTAAATTAAAAATCACTTTTGTCAAATAATAATTCTGAAACCACGTAATTTTGCAACTTATCTGTTGGGATTATTGGTCCCATATTTGATTTTACCTCAATGATCTTATATTTTTAGCCACTCAGTCAAACCAAAAAATTCGTCTATCATTCGAAAAAAATCAAAGCATCACAAACAGTAAATAAAATGCAGAAAATGTGAAGAACGGGAACAGCAAAAATTGGTCGCCCAGTTTACCCAAACAAGGGCTAATCTGGGGGGCTCAATGGCTAGCTCGTCACTAATGCAAAATAGCCTCACAAGAGAAAGTACAATGACAAGAACCAAATCAGAACAAGTTTTTGGTCACTGATCCAATAGGATCTCCCAAATCACAACCCTAATCTACTTAAGAATCGTAACCCACAAACTCAATAAATCTACAAAATTCAACCACTATTTTAGGCCTCCAAAACACTGTAGCAAAGCACTTTCACAAGGGTTACACAAGATTAAGATCTCATGGAAGATCAAGAC